AAAAAAAAAAAAAAAAAAAAAAAAAAGACACGCTTGGAGCGATAAAATCAAGCGGCTGGGGGAAGAGGAGAAACGGGGAAGGTGGGAAACTGGAGCCGTTGAGCCAGGGGACGGCCCGAGCAGGGGAGGCAGAGCCGACTGCCTGGGAAATCGGGAGAAGCAGCAGTGCCGAAGCAGCGGGAAGAGCGGGAAGGATGAAGGCGGAGCGGCAGAGAGCCCCGGCACCCCCGCAGCGCAGCGCTCGTCCCCGGCCCCGACGGGCGCACGGAGCAGCCTCGTACCTGTCGGCCCGGCTCCTCCACGGCCACGCGTGTACCCTCGCCAGTCACCGACTGGGAACGAGCCGGGGTCGGCGGGCTTAAGCCCCTCTGTCCGACTGCCTGCTTTTTTATTTGTGTCTCTAGCTACCTGCCAATCGACAACGTGTTGATTTTATTTTGCTGCCAGGGAAGATGACTGTGTTGATCACACTCAGAAGCACACGAGCGCCCCAAAGTTCTCACCGCTCCCCGAGATCCAGTTTTCTGCCAGTGCCCTCCCAATATTTTTGCTTAGTGTTTCCCCAGCGCCCCACATTCCCGGCTGTATTCCCAGACAGTCCCATTCAAAGGGAAATTTCCCAGCAACCGAGACAGGGCTGGACCAGACGCATCTCCCTCCTGAGCTCTCCAAACCTGTCCGAACCTCACCGCCTCCAAAACGCGTCCGTTCCAGCAGCGCGGCTGCCCCAGCAGCTCCCGTTAACGGGTCGCGCTCTCGAGGGAGCTCCGGGCCCGGCGGGAGGCCCGGCCCAGCCGCGCAGGGTACGGCCGTGCTCCCAGACCCTGGTCCGGGGCCGCTTCGATGGCCAGAGAAGGCTCGCCACGGGCAGGGGCTATCCATCGGTGGGTCGGCGCCGGCACTTCCCTGCCCACTGTGCCCCGGGGAGGGCCGCAGCCGCCGGTGACCCCAGGGTGCCCCGCTCCAGCCTCACTCCCCGGACCTGATGGCACACACACATCGCGCTGGTGGCCATCGCTTCCCACAGAGAACCGGCCGGCTTTGAAATAACAAAAAGTAGCCGGTTGCCCTCTGTATTTGATTACCGAGTAGGCGAACATCCCCGGAGTCCCCTCCTGCTGCCCCCCGGCCCCGGGCTATGTAGGTCATCAACAGGAGAGAAACATTTTAGAAATAACCCGACCTGGAAAAATATCTTCCAAACCCATCTCCTCGGGGCGGAATGATTTGTTTCGCATTTAAAGCCCCAAGAGACGAAAACAATTTTATTTTTATTGAATAAATATCCGGATAATGCGTGCCGGTAGCACAGCTGTCATGCGAGGGGGCTATCTCCCTCCTAAAAGCGCATCCCTAAGGTTTGGCGGCGTTTGCAAATTCCGCCGAGGCGTTTAAAGATTCTAAAGGCGCCTCACTCTGCGTCTTTCTTCCAAACTTCCCGTTAACCGGCAGTATTCCCATCGAAAACCCGGGAAAAGCGAACCGGCGTTTACTCCAGGCGTCAGGACAGACGGGGAGGTGTGTGTGTGTGTGTGTGTGTGTGTGTGTGTGTGCCAACAGCCCCGGGACGTCCGTTTTCCCCAGCACCGGAGAAAACCGGGCAAAGAGGAGGGGGTCCGTGGAGGCGAGAGAGCGACAAGGACCAGGACAGGGAGTCTCCGGGGGTCAGAGGCGCCCGTTAGGAGATGTAGGGAGGGGGGTGGCCGGCGGGGACCCTCGGTGGCCGCCCCCCAGAACAATGGGAACAATGCGGCTCGGCGGGCCGGCGGCTGGGCGGTGTTGGGCGCGGTGCTGAGCGGTGGCGGTGGCGGTGGCGGTGGCGGGGCGGTGACAGATGGCGCGGCCCGCGGGTCACCGCGGGCGTGGCGGCTCCGCGGGCGGGCGCGCGGCCGCATACAAATCAGGGGCGTCACGTGGGGGGGGGCGCCGCGCGCCTGACGTGGGCGGCCATATGGCGCGTGCCACCGCGCGGGGCGGGGCGCGGGGCGGGGCGCAGGCGCGCGGGGCGCGGCGGTCGCGCGCGGCCCGGGTGCAGGTGCCGGCCCCCCGGCGCGCATCCTCCGTCCCGCTATATAACGGGGGGAGCCCGGCGCTGGGCCACCTCGGGAAAAAATACACACCGACACGCACGCACCCGCGCCGAGCCCTCGCACGGAGAGCTGTGCCGGGGTTATGAGACCGTCACCGCGCAGGAGAGGCTGAGCGACGGAGGTAACGGGAAACCGTGTTTTACCCCCGCGGGAAAAGGGTTCGCGGCGGCTGCCGGGGCGGGAGAGGACCCTGCGAGGTCGGGGCGGTCGGGATCTGCCTCTGCCGGAACGACTCCGGGTTTTTTTGTCACTTGCGGTCGTTCCCGCTGGTGTGTGCGGGCACACCTGTATCCATCCATAGACGCACACATACATACGTGTATACATATGTATATGTATATATTTATATATGCGTCCATACGCACATAAAAATATGTATACGTGCGTCCGTTTCTACAGACGCATATTACATATGTTAACGTGCTTCCACCGATGCACCTCTGAACTTTGGGCTCCTTTTCCTTCGCGGAGCGCGATCGCCAGGGTCCCAGCGCAGGCTGCGCCTCGGCGGGCGTGCGGCATTGTTTCTTCCCGGTGTGCCCGACGCTACCGGGGGACGGTCGCAACCCCGCGCGAAAGGTCCCCGCGGGAAGCGGGGGAACCGATGCCCGTTTGCGACAGAGGGGACGACGGAGACGGGAAGCCGGGGCCAACCCCGCACCTGTTACCACGGGCAGGGGCCGCTCAGCCCCTCCGCGAGCACCCAGTGACAGTCCTGTGGACGAAGGCGGGACCGGGGAGCAGGTGCTCGGAGCGCGCTGGGGCGGCACAAGCCCCACGCAAGGAGGCGGCAAGGGGGAGCCGCCGAGACCGGCGGGGACAGTCGTCGCAGGCCGCCACCCGTCCCTGTAGGTGCCCCGTGTGTGCGTGGGTCCGCCTCCCCCCTTCCCCTCTTCGGTAAAAATGTTTGAGGATTTTTTTCGAAACAAAACAAAACAACCCACGCTCGGTCCACTTGCGTCGTGCCGCCCGGGATGCCTCCCGCACGCATAATCTGCTTATATTCCCCGCTAATATCGGCGAGTTACATAATGGCATTTGAACATATGTCAACTTAACTACAAGGCAGGAACGCATAGACAATTAAAAGTTTGCCCTGGCACGGTGGGGAATCCAGGGCTTCCCTCGGGAGGGGGCGGCGGGACCGGGGAGCGAAGCGCGGGCAACTTCTCCCCGGGGGTGGCCGCTGCTCCGGGTGCTGACACGTCTCTTTTCTGTCTTCGCGATGCAGAGGCTCACCATGACCAAGTCGTACAGCGAGAGCGGGCTGATGGGCGAGCCCCAGCCGCAGGGCCCCCCGAGCTGGACGGACGAGTGCCTCAGCTCCCAGGACGAGGAGCACGAGGTGGACAAGAAGGAGGAGGACCTGGAGGGTCTGCACGCCGAGGCCGAGGGGGACTCGCTGCGGAACGGAGAGGAGGAAGACGAGGAGGACGACTTGGACGAAGAGGAGGAGGAAGAGGAGGAGGAGGAAGACGACGACCAGAAGCCCAAGAGGCGGGGCCCCAAGAAGAAGAAGATGACCAAGGCGCGCATGGAGCGGTTCAAGCTGCGGCGCATGAAGGCCAACGCTCGGGAGCGCAACCGCATGCACGGGCTGAACGCGGCCCTGGACAACCTGCGCAAGGTGGTGCCCTGCTATTCCAAGACGCAGAAGCTCTCCAAGATCGAGACCCTGCGCCTCGCCAAGAACTACATCTGGGCGCTCTCCGAGATCCTCCGCTCGGGCAAGAGCCCGGACCTGGTGTCCTTCGTGCAGACTCTCTGCAAGGGCCTGTCGCAGCCCACCACCAACTTGGTGGCCGGCTGCCTGCAGCTCAACCCGCGGACTTTCCTCCCCGAGCAGAGCCAGGAGGTGCCGCCGCACGTGGCGGCGGCGGCGGCGGCGGGCGCGCCCTTCCCGGCGCATCCCTACCCCTACCAGTCGCCGGGCTTGCCCAGCCCGCCCTACGGCACCATGGACAGCTCCCACCTCTTCCACCTCAAGCCTCCGCATGCCTATGGCGCCGCGCTGGAGCCCTTCTTCGAGAGCGGGCTGGCGGAGGGCGCCAGCCCCGCCTTCGACGGGCCGCTCAGCCCGCCCCTCAGCGTGAACGGCAACTTCTCCTTCAAGCACGAACCGGCCGCCGACTTCGACAAGAGCTACGCCTTCTCCATGCACTACCCCGCCGCCGCCGCCGCGCTGGCCGCCGCGCCCGCCCACGCCGCCATCTTCCCGCCCGCCGCCTCCCGCTGCGAGATCCCGGTGGACGGGCTGGCGTCCTACGAGGGCCACCCGCACCACGAGCGCGTCCTCAGCGCCCAGCTCAACGCCATCTTCCACGACTGAGCCTCCCCGCGCCGCAGGGAGGGCCGGGGGAGCCGCGCCCCGCCGCCCGCCACCGCCTTGTTTACAGGGGGCAGCCCGGCGGGTCCCGCCGCCGCCTCGGGGCCGCCGCGTCCCCCCCCGCTCACCCGCTGTCTTTGCTTCCGCTCCTCCGAGCGACGCTGTAAATTGGGGTAGGGGCATTGGGATCGCGTCAATTACCTGATCGGGATAACAAAATCACAAGCAATAATTAGGATCTATGCAATTTTTAAACTAGCGATGGGCCAATTACAAAATATATATGAAATCTATATTTTTCAACCAACGTTTTACTACTTGTTACCTTTCCCATGCTGAATTATTTTGTTGTGATTTTGTACAGAATTTTTAATGACTTTTTATAACGTGAATTTCCTATTTTAAACCATGCAGCTTCATCAATTTTTATACATATTGGAAAGGTAGAATTATATCTAATTTATACAAAATGATTTAACTAATTTAAACCAGCAGAAAAGTGCTTAGAGAAGTTATGTTGCCTTAGCACTTCTTTCCTTTTCAAATAGATGAAAAAGAAAAAAAAAATGCACAATCCAGGCAATTTCTTTCCCATGCAAGTCTCTTTTTTCATTTTTATTCATTTTTATTCATTTTTCTTTATTTCTTTTTCCTTTCCCCCCCGTACAATAAGAACCAGATCCCCTAGGTTTTGAGAAGATATAAGAATGATAGACTTATTTTCTATTAAAACATATCATTTCAACACATTACTTGCACAAACTTGTATATAAAGATTATAAGCAAATGCCAACACCCTTTTTAAATCGAAAGCTGCTTGACTATCACATACAATTTGCACTGTTTCTTTTTAGTCTTTGAACTCCTTGGCATTCCGTGTTTTTGGTTTGTTGGATTTTTGGTTTTGTTTGTTTGGGGTTTTTTTGTTTGTTTTTGTTTGTTTTTTTTTAAGATAACTTGAAGATGTTAATGTTTCCAGGCGCTATAAATGCATGATTTTATACATGTTCACACAATCCGTGGTTGTCATATGCTCATTTTATAAATCTGAACCGAAATCTAATCAGGTTGTTAAAGTCGGGCTATATACCTATTGTAGTCGATTAGTACGGTAGCTTGAAACAAATTCAAACCATTTAATCCGTAATTAGAACAATAGCTATTGCATGTACAATGCAGTCCAGAATAAGTGCTGTTTGAAATGTAACGCTGGTTCAACTGGAATCAATCTGTACTGTAATTTTGTTTGTAATCCTGTATATTATGGTGTAATGCACACTGGGATTTTAGAAAAAACATCCATCCTTTGGCAACAGCATAGTATTGAACATTTGGTCGAATGTTGCATTTTTCCTTAAATGTGATTTTTTTTTTTCTTAGTGTAAGTAATTCCTATGGGATTATTGTTTTATTCGGATAGCTCATGAAAGGTGCAACACTTATTATTTGTAGAATAAAATTGGACTAAAAAAAGGACACGGATTCTTTACTTACCTTGAGGAGCACTCGGGGCGGGGGGTGTTCGTTTGTTTACAGCGAACCCGGCTATTTGCAATGCTGATTTGTTGAATGAGGGGAACGGGGCAGAGGCGCAGTTCGCCGGGGAGCTGCGGTTGCCGGCGCGGGCGGCCACGGGCAGCTCAGCCCGGTCCCGGCCCGCGGGGTGTCCCCGGCCCGGTCCCGGCCCGCGGGGTGTCCCCGGCCCGGTCCCGGCCCGCGGGGTGTCCCCGGCCCGGTCCCGGCCCGCGGGGTGTCCCCGGCCCGGTCCCGGCCGGGACCCGCACACCGGGAGCGGACGCTTCGGCCCCGGCGTGGCGGCAGCAGGTGCGCCTTCCCCGCGCAAGGCAGACCTGGAGCCGCGCTATCGACCCGTCCGTTCCTCTTCCCAGAAGGGAAACATATTCCTTTAATCTTCGCTGATTATTCTGAGGCTTAAGAAACCCGGAGACACAACCTGCGGGAGAGCAATTCCCCTAATGACCAGGAACAATTATCAACAGGTCTTTGCCTCCGACCATCAGAAACAGATTTAAGACGTTACCTGAAATACTTTATATAAAGCCTGTCACAAAGCGGAGGTATTTCATAAATATTTCAGCTAAACCCAGCAGAAACTAAACAAGCTCTCCTATGGATGAGGGCATTTCCACCCACCCACCCCCTCCCTCAGGAGAAATCAAGCTTCTGGAGTCTATTTTAAAGGTGTTTGTAGTTACAAAAATCTCATGTGTAAGCATGGCAAACCTTTCCTAGCAGTTTAGCAGCCCCTGCTGCCAGGCTTCCCTGTTAAAAACATGCTAAGATTTAACTGCGATGCTGGCTGATGCGTTTTGCTGCATCTCCCTGCATTTCGCCAGAGTCTGTAGCTCCACGCTCAAAAACTGTTGCTGAATCTGAAAAGAAAGCAAGCAAAAGGCAGCTTTGCAAGGACCCATTAACCTTTCTCAGTCAGCAGCAGTACAGGTAAATGTGCCCTAGATAACCTGAGGGGGATAAATGATTGACGATATTTAAGATAAAATTGAAAAAGCTGACCCAGGCTTGCTTGCCTTTTGGTTATGTGCCTTCTTCCTAAATACAAGGATTCTTCTAGTCAGTCAAGGGGCAACTCACATGCCACCATCTTTTATTCAAAGGCAGGCACAGATGTTCCTTCTGCAGGGGAGGTTTTAATTTATGAAAATGATATTGTTTATGCATGAATGCACTCTGCATAACACACAGTACTTCCATCTGATGAGAGAAATACCACAGAACCAGTGCCAATGTCAGGAACATATTCTGCGAATTTAGTCGCTTAAATGTTTAATGAATATTTGGAAGGCATTTCCAAAGCACAAGAAACCTTTTCAACTACCTTTTCTGTTTCCACTGTTGATAACAAAATTCAACTCCTCCAGTCAATGCAACCTACTTAAAAGATCTACCTAGGCCATCTCAATATTTGCTACTGTGATACTTCAAAGAAAGTAATGTTTTAATGTTATGAGCAATCTAATAAGGAAAATTAATTAGGCATTTTGGTAACTAGAGGCTCTATTTTACAAATCACTTGTGAGTTTACTTATTTCAATTAGTTTTGGGTGGTTTTTTCCTTATCATCATCATTTTAAAATATTGGACATGTTCCCCCCTCCCCCACTTCACTGATGCTTCTTATGTCTCCATGATATTTCTTTCATACTATTAACATCAAGCCAAATGTTGAAATTTCTGCTCATGACTCCCACAGGAAGGTCTATCAAGGTCTCTTTTAATGGAGAGAATTACTCACACTGTTCTCCTTATATGAACATATCGCTAATTAACTGAGGCTGTAGCGGCATTATCTAACTTCCGCATGCAGAGAAAACTTTGGGGTTGATTTGTACCCACACACATACCAGGTCAGCCAGCACAGCCCTAAAACTTTATTTTTAGGGCTGGTTTTGACAAATGGCCCTTCCCCTCTTATGACATACTTCTGGCAGCAGAAATTGCTCTGCCACCAATGCATGCTTGAGGTTACATCTGCAGGTACGGTATATGAGAAACAGTCACGCCGTGCAGCTTTTCCCTTCCTGGTGATCTGGAACAACAGAAGAGGATCTGTGGAGGTTGTGGACCCATTGTTGGCTGTGACAGACACAGCTGAATCCCCAGCTACGGCAGAAGAATCTGAAATGGTGGAGTTCCAGGTTGCATTCACAAGATGTCTGAGAGACTGTAGCCTCTGGTTTTACCTAGCCCAAATGAACAATGTGCCTGAGCAACACCAGACCTTGGCCCAGTGCACTCAGAAGGAGTCTCCAGGTAAAGGGAAGTAGATTCAAGGAGAACGGAGATTCCTGAATTCACCAGAAGAAAACAGAGAGCCACCTTCTCCAAAAGATACTAGCACAGAATATTAATAAACTAACATGGAAAAACAATATGCAGTTCCAGAGGTAATACGGGTTAACATAAATAATTCTAAACTAAGTACTGAGAGCAAGTAAAACAATTATTTTCTATCTTCTGTAACAGTAAGGAAATCTTGCCATTATTTCAATATTGTAACTGATTAAAACTAGATCCACCACGACCTTATCAATTGCTTCTGACATATTAAAAACATGAGTCTCTTTTTAAAAATAATACAATCTATCTGTTCAGAGAACCATTTTGTCAAATAGTTTTAGAAATTACAGAGTTAAATTTAATTCTCTCTTTTTACACATAAAAGGTATCTTAAGATAAAATAATCAAATGAAACCCACTCATATCTCACTTGTTTCTATTGAGGAAGAACAGAAATGAAACTTGGAGTTCTGCCTGGTGCTGTATCAGGAAAAATATGCAGAAATTTGTCTTTGTTTTTATTGACCAAGATGGGTTGTATGGTAATTATTTCAGAAATTGTAAGTGGTCTACACTCTTTCCTTAGCTGAAAATCCCATATTACAAAGAACCCTTGAAAAACATAGTACATAGATAATGATACTGAAACAGTGAGCTGAAGACCTAAAAATACACTGTTATTTAGATATCTACATAAGTGTTTTTTAAATAATTCATATATGTATTTAACAAACTGTCAGAAGCTATGCAATACAAAATTAAAACTGACAATGCTCTCAAAGCGTTCTCTTAAGTATTTAGGTTGCCTACAGGGTATGTAAAACATAGAATATTAGCCCTAGTTTTCAGTTCCCTAGCTTATAGTAGTTTGCAGCATAGAGTTAACTGCATTTTCCATAAAATAAAATAGAAGCAACGAATATTTACATGTTTACCAACACTGTGACAGAACAATAGAAAATAAGATTCAAAGGGGCAAAAAAAAATCTTAAAAGATAGCATACCAACCTTAATGCAAAGAAAAGACAATATACCCTGATCAATAGATTCTCATTTTATATTCTTCCTATTACCACATTTTTCTCTATTGTTCTGATTAAGATTAATTTCGATTCACGGGAGTATCAGGAATGGCTCAAACTTCAAGACTGCATTTCTGCAGCTTCTTGTACCTGCATAATAATT